GTGGCAGGTGGGGCCGGGTGATCACTGAGCCCCTCTTGGCCTTGTGCTCTGCAAGTCCATAGTTAGACTCCAATGGTTTAACTTTTCTCCTTGGTCCCCAAGAAGAAAATGTAGTAATTCCCCCAGGGTAGGTCAGGTATCCACAGCCCCACCTTGGGTCCACAGGCACCTTTCCAAGGCACAGGTTCAGAGGCTCTTCCATTCACCCCTGATAATCCATTAAAATACTTTCCGAGTCCCGTGTGCTCCTGATTCTTTGTGGCATAATTTGAAAAGAGAAGGGGCGTGGTGTCTGCCTGGGGACAGGAGGGGGGGTGCAGGTTCAAGGATGGTGCTGCACACCTGGGCAGCCTCCACCAGCCACGCGTTTGATGTTCTTGCCATCGGCTGTCCCCCACATCTCCCATCCTCACCCCATTTGACGGTGGAGGGCCTGGGTCAGAGAGGGCGGGCCCAGAGGAAGGGCGGTGTGACTTTCCTGGGCCCTGGGCACTTTTCCCATTGCGGGACCCTTCCTCCATTAATAATAATAAAAAAATAATAATTTTTACAACTGTTTGGATATAAAAGCAAATATATCAGAAGTATGTGCTGAGATATTTTCTACGTAAAAGTCCGTCCTGTTTCTTGGAATAGCATTTGAGCAAGCCCCGCGGTGGGGTGGGCGTGTTCCTGTTTTGCCCGCACCACCCCCGCTGAGGAGCCGCCAGGGGGCGCCAGACACCAGCGCGAGGCCCCACAGGGCAGCCCGAATGGCCCGGGACTGGGCGGCGCATCCTCAGGCCGGGTCCTACTCTGGGGGCTCAGACCCACCCCCTGCGGTCCCCGCAGCACCAGAAACCTACTCCGTGCACCTCATGGCCTGTGTCTTGTAAGACACAGTTGAGGTGCCATGGACTCCAGGAAGTCTTCCTGGGTGGCAGGCTGGGCAAGGCGTCTTCCCTGGGCTCCAACAGCCTCCAGGGGGCCCTGTCCACACTGTCAGTCACTGTTTCCTTCTCTGAGGACAGTGGACAGTGTGTCCCCAGGCTGGGATGGACCTGGGTCACCCGTGACCCCAGAATGGCTACTCAGGAATTGTTCCTGGATGGAGCTCCTGCCCCCACACTTGCTTAGGGCCGAGTGGCCAAAAAAGCTTAATGGGCTCCCACCCCTGTCCCATTCTCTGTAACCTGGGGACCCATCATTCCCCTTCCTGAGACTCAGGACCAGGCCCTCTCAGCCTGCAGGTGAGGCTCATTGTTGATTTGCAAATAGTGAAGCACTCAGACGTCGGAAATTACTTTCTTATAATCGGTACATTAGAGGGGATTCCCGTATCCCTGTAATCATCGCTTTCAGGCACGTGTTTATTTATTTATTTCCATCACCATTGAGCTCCCCACGCCCCCCTCCACTCCACCCACCGCCTCACTCACGTGTTTTGACCTTGCAGGAGGGGCAGGCCCTGCAGAGGTTGAGTGTCTGGCAGGCAAGGTGACATGCACACATATGTGGTTCATGGCACAGACTGGAGCGATTCTGCCAGGGTTCAAATCCCTACTCCAGCTCGGGCTCCCTGTGTGACCTTAGGTAAGCTACCAACCTTCTGTGTGACTCAGTTTCTTCATTTGTAAACTGGAACGGTGGTATCAGAGCTACGCCCTTCCCCCAGCCTCAGGGAGGTTAAGGAGGCAATGCCTGCCCAGCACAGAGGAAGTGCTGCGGGCCTGGGCCTGGGAGATGGGCCCACCCTATCCTCTCCCCCCCTCCCGGTTTGAAGCTCTACTCTCTCTGGCCCCTCAGCTTTCTGGAGGGATGAGTCCTCACCTATGAAAACAGGACAGTGGGCCCGGCGAGTGTGGCTCAGTGGTTGAGCATCAACCTATGAACCAGGAGGTCGCGGTTCGATCCCTGATCAGGGCACATGCCAGGTTGTGGGCTCGATCCCCAGTAGGGGGCATGCAGGAGGCAGCCGATGAATGACTTTCCCTCTCCCTTCCTCTCTCTGAAACCAGTAAAAAACATATTAAAAACAAAACAGGACTGTGGGACCCATTTCCCCAAGGGTCAGCCACTCATGCCATCGTTCTCCAAATACCTGAGTGCCAGGCACAGCTCCTGGGACCGAGACTGCCCTCAGGGAGGCTGCATCCTAGATGGGACACAGGCGTCAAACAGATAAGCCTTAGATGACCCCAACAGGTCAGTCAGGAAAAGCTGTAGCCAGACCCTGCTTGGCCCTTTCTCTGGGGAGCCTGTGGCTCTGAGGTTTGCTATTTCTGGGCTTGATCAGCTGCCCGTTTCCCCAGGACTTGGCCAGTGGGACCTGGATGGAGATTGGAGGGGAGGTGGAGAGCAAGCTCAGGCCGTTGCTCCCCTACTTCTTTGCTGGGGGCATCTGGCTCTTGGCTGGGCCACGCATTCCTTGGAACCCAGCAGGATCCCCCTTCCCTGGGGCGCCTCTCCTGTGGCCTGGACAGAGTCTGAGCCCCGCCTCTGTGCTCTCAGAGCCTCTTTTGTGGTTTCACTTGATGTGGTTTTGTGAGGTTATTGGGCGAATATCTCTCCTTTTCCTCACAGAAAGCATCTTGAAAGCAGGCTGCGTTTCCCCCTGAATTGTTTGAGTGACTCTTCTCCCAGCACACAGTAGGAGGCTCTTAACCCATGTGTCAGACACGTACTCATTTGAAGGAAAGAGGCCCCAGGTGTTTACGGAGCCACGGGAACTAGCTTGGCAAGCCCTTGGGGGGCTGAGTTAGGATGGAGACATGAACTGGAGGAGTCATTTTAGAGCTGGGGTTACTGGCAGGGTGTGCAAAATGCAGGAACTGGCACCCAAAGGGCAGTGTCCCAAAAGACCAGGTCAGAACCGCTCCCCATCTGAGCTGGGAGAGGCACCTGTCCGCACAGGTAGGGGACAGGAGCAGAAATGGGGCAGGAGCAGGGGGCTCTGCGATGCCCCTCATGGGCGCTGCTGGTGACTGCACCTGTCTCTGCCTCCCTACCAGACCGTGTGGGGTGGATCCAGACTCACATGGGCCCCTGCCAGCTGGGACGGACGGGGTCATGGGAACAGCAGTCAAGTCAGGCAAAGCCTGGAGTCCAGGCTCCCAATGTCCAGCCACTACTCACAGCCTGGGGGTGCTCCACCCACCCCCTCCATTTCCAGGGCCCACTGCCCCCAGCCCCCCCCAGAACCCTGAGACACAGACTCGGTGGAGCAGGACACGCACGTACCAGCAGCCGATGGGAGTCCAGCTCTGCAGGAGACAGGAAGTCACGTAGCTCATAACTAACCCCTGTTTTCTCCTCTGTAAAGCGGGGTGAGGCTGAGCAGCTCCCCAGGCTGCTGCGGGGATGAAGGGGGTGCTGGAGGGGGGTGCTTGGGGGCTGCACCAGGGCCCACTCTCATCTCCAGCTCTGACCCAACCCTGTGGGCCGGGGTGAGGGGCCAGTGGGGGGCAGCTGGGCCGCCTGTGGCCCAGGGCCTTTCGGGGCTGGGCAGGAAAGGCCCTCCATGCCCACAGCCTCCAGATCACACAGATACGGGACATGAATGCCTAACCGGGGCTTCATTCCAGAGATGGACAAACCAGTTAGCCAGGACTCAACCAGAGAGGCCTCACCTTCCCCCAAGGCAAGGGGGCGGGCCGGCCACCTGACCCACCTCTGCCCTTTGCCCTCCAGGACCCTGCAGGTCTGTGCCCAGCAGTGGCATGGACAGTGGGCAGCACCAGGGGATGCTGGGTAAATTCAGGTTGTAAATAGGTCTTCCTGCCTCCTGCCACTGCTCAGGTGTCACTGGGTGGGAGACGCTGCCACTCGCTCCACAGACTCACAGATGCCCAGGGATGGATGGATCGCTCGTGGATGCCACCCAAGTCGGAGGCACGCTGGGGTCCGACCGCTGCTCTGAGCTGCTGGGCGGCCTGGCCCAGCGCTTTCCCTCTCTGGGCTGCAGAGCCTCAACTTAAAAGAAGGTATAAACCGACATCCTTGCTTTCTTTCCCTCCAACGCCGCTCTTCCACTGCCTTCCCATCTCAGCTCAGGGCAGCAGGGCTGCCTGACTCCCCCAGATCCACACCCACGTCCAACCCATCAGCCAAGTCCTGGTGGCTCAGCTGTCAGGACGCACCAGGCAGGAAGGCACGGAGAGAGCCAAGCACGTGAGTGACGGCTGGATCATGTCCCCCAAATCCTCACCCCCAGGACCTCTGAATGTGACTGTGGAGACGGGTCTGTAAAGAAGCGTTTAAGGTAAAATGAAGTCATAAGTGTCATCTTAATCCAATCTGATTTGATGCCCTTATAAGAAGCGATTAGGACACACTCACGGGGACGACCATGCGAGGACACAGGGAGAGGACAGCCGTCTACGAGTCAAAGACAGAGGCCTCAGAAGAAACCAAACCCCAGGACACCCTGATCTCCGACTTCCAGCCTCCAGGACTGTGAGGAAATAAGCTTCTCTTGGTTAAGCCCCAGCCGGTGGTATTTGTTACAGCAGCCCAGCTGACTGATACAGTTAGAGAGACGGACCAGACGACAACGTGCCAGGCAGCAGCAGACCCAGAAAGGAAGCGACGGTCTGGAGTCACCTGTTGACATTTATGGTTGGATTTCACCCCCAGAGGGGACTGGGAGGGAGGACTGTGACCACAGGAGAAGGCAGGGCAAGCCTGATAGGGCAGGCAGAGGGTGATGGCCTGGAGGCTGTGGGAGAGACGCCTGTAACCCAACGCTGCCCAGCACCCCAGTCAAGAAACACGGTCCCTGTCTGGCTGGTGTGGCTCAGTGGTTGAGAATCAGCCCATGAACCAATAGGTCACCAGTTCGATTCCTGGTCAGGGCATATGTCTGGGTTTGGGGCTCGATCTGCAGTGGAGGGTGTGTAGGAGGCAGCTGAGCTATGTTCCTCTCTCATCGATGTTTCTCTCTCTCTCCCTCTCCCTACCTCTCTCTCTCTCGAAAAAAAATCAATAAAAACATATCTAAAAAAGGAAAGAAACACACTCACCGCATGACCACACTTCATGCCTCCACTCTGTGAGGGGGCTCCCTGAGAACCCCTACTTTACTGAAAAAGAAGCTAAGGCTTTGCAAAGGGGCAGGGACTGCCCCAGAGAGAACCAGAGCCAGGGCCCTTCGGGGGCACCGCGGTGTGACAGGACAGGCGGCTGGAGCTGGGAGAGAGGTGGGGGCTGCGGGGGCCACTTGGAGCTGAAGGTGGGTGTAGGTGTCTGAGCTCCTGAGGGCCAAGAGCTCGGGTCTCTTCGCTTGCATTTTTTGGTTTTGTTTGAAAGTTACTGAATCTCAATGGGCAGAAAAGCTTGGCTTCCAAGACCACCTCAGGTGTGGCAGACACTGGAAGCAAGTGCTTGGTGGGGGTAGGGCCCAGGGGTGGGGGGCCGCGGGGATGGGTACCTGCAACTGCCCTGACTTGTAAAGAAAAGAGGCGTGGAAATTGGCTCCGGCCTTTTTGACACTTGGAGAAACATTTCTGGGTCAAGAATTTCCAACCCATAAACCCCCCCGTGTGTCAAGTTCCCAGGAGGCCCGGGGGCTGAGTTTGCTTAACCTTTGTAGCCAGAACTTCCTGCTCCGTGAGCGTCTGGGCCGGGGTTCAGGGGGACGCTGATGGGTGAGATAGAAGCCATCTAAGCAGACGAGCCCGGTGCCCTGGAATTAACTTGATCAAATGGGGGAAAAGGTGTTTTTTTTGCAAAACTTCTTTCCACCATCTCTCTCCCTGCAGACCAGCTGGGTGTCTCCCTCACGAATCTGTGACCGCGACTCATTTCTCCTGCACTGTCCCCCCTTCGGAACCTGCCAGGCAAGCAAACGCCAGCTTCTGTGAAGTGGGACTTGTTTATAAATCCAAGACTTTTTTTTTCCCCCCCAGAACATTTTTGGGCCTTAACAGATTATTATTTTAACATTTCCCACAAGCATTCTCTCCATATTTGGGTAAAGCAAGAGAGGAGAGGACTTTTTGTTTGTTGTTTCATAGGACCTGTGAGTTTTGGGCAAGACACAGCTTCCCGGGCCGCCTCCTTCTCACGGTGATTCCGGCTGAGCCTGCGAGATGGGCTCGGCCGGCGGCTGATAAGCTCCAGGTTTGCGAACTAACTAGGGCTGGACGAGAAAAGTCAGGCCATAAAAATTCTTGGAGGAAAACATCACCCCTTTGCTCAAGAGTTTGTTATCTACGGGGCATTTTCTGTTCCCCGGAGATAGGGATCTGATTCTCCACGCTTGCACGGCAAAGCCGAGAGCAACCTCCCCATTTCACAGAGGGGAAACTGAGGCCCAGGGAGAGGAACGGTACGTTTTTGGCTGAGCACAGAATCTCCTCCCAATATTTTTACTTTAAAAAATTTCAAACCTTTAGAAACATTTGCAGAACAGCACAATGAATGCCCATATCCACCAGCTGTTAACACTGTGGTACGTCTGGTTTATCGCTTGCACTCTCTCCCTCTCTCCATATACGCGCGTGTGTGTGTGTGTGTGTGTGTGTGTGTGTTTCGGACACCGTGACACTTCACCCACAAGACTCCGGCGTGTGTCTCTTTCGTAACCGCAGCACAGTGGTCACACTTGGGAAGTTTAATATCGAATCAATATTGTTATCCAATACGCATTCCATAATCAAATTTCTCTCACTGCCATCCTAACTATAATAGTGTTTGTGACAATTTATTTGTCTTTAAAATATGTTTTTATTGATTTTAGAGAGAGAGGAAGGGAGAGGGAAAGAGAAACATCAATGATGAGAGAGTCGTGGATCGGCTGCCTCCTGCACGCCCCCTGCTGGTGACCGAGCCTGCAACCCGGGCTTGTGCCCTGACGGGGAATCGAACTGTGGCCTCCTGGTTCATAGGTTGATGCTCAGCCACTGAGCCACGCCGGCCGGACGAGTTCTTTTTTTTAGTTTATTGATTTTTAGAGATAGAGGAAGGGACAGGGGAGAGAGAGAGAAATATTGATGTGAGAGCCCGACATCGATCAGCTGCCTCCTGCACACCCAATACCTGGGATCGAGCCTGCTACCCGGGCATGTGCCCTGCCCCGGAATCAGACCGGCAACCTCCCGGTGCATGGGATGAGGCCCAGCCCACTGAGCCACACCAGCCAGGGTGGCACACCACAGAGTTCTTCCTCCATTCCAATCTCCCTCACCCCACAGCAAGTGAGAACCTGGGTCCTGACACCCAGAGTTTCTTCAGAGCTGCTCTGCCCTCCCCAGGGTTCTTCCTGTGACCTTTCTCTTTGCCCTGAGAGTATCGCCACCTAGGAAGTAAGGGCAGATAAGCTCAGTCCAAGGTCTCTGTGACTCTGTCTTTTTCTGCACGGGGTTGCCATCAATGTCATGCATGGATTCATTAGTGTCTGTTGGGTTCAGATAACCTGAAAATAAAAGGGCCTTTCAAAGTGAGAGGCAACAAGCACTTATTGAGAGCAATCAAAATAGCTGTTCAGGAATCACTGATTCAGGCAGAAACCCAAATAACGTTCCTGTGAGGAGGCAAGGGGTATTTAGGAGACAGGGAAGGGGAACCATGACATCCGCAGAAGGAAGGCATCTCTGTTGGTGCAGGTAACATAACAGGGATGCGGACTCTTTTTATTTATTTTAATTCTTACCTGAGGACATTTTTCCTGTTGCTTTTCAGGGAGAGTGGAAGGGAGAGAGAGAGAGAGAGAGAAATCCATGTGAGAGAGACACATCGATTGGTTGCCTCCAGCACGCCGGGGATCGAGCCTGCAACCGAGGTACATGCCCTCAGCCAGAATCGAACCCAGGACCCGTCAGTCCATGGGCTGATGCTCTAACCACTGAGCAAACCGGCCAGGGCAGTGACCCTAATTCTAAGCACTGTTTTTAAATTCAGCCCGTAGCTGTCGGTCCAGTGATTAGTCATCACTGCTTTCTTGTTGTCTTTGCAAACAGTTCTTTGGGACACAGTGTTGCTTTGGGCCCAGTTCAAAGGTTAACTTGCCCTATTTTAATATTCCAGGTGTGAGGCAGTCAGTCCCTCTGCAATGGCGGCTCTGGCTCCATTTTCACGGGGCTCACTTTTGTTATCGTTGACAGTTCCAGTTTTAGTCTCCCCCCCATCCTTGTAGACTTACTTTTATTTCTTAAGTGTAAAATCTAATATTTAAGGTGCGCTCAGAGATGTGCACAATTTCTGATGCTGGAAGGAACCATCTAGTCCAGGCAAAGGCTTCATCACTATTTTCAAATGCTCCCCCAGAAAACAGTCCTTAAATCCTGTTCCATCCCTTTTAAAGCACCCCCTGGCCTGGGCAGCGGGACCCCTGCACTCCACCAGCCTGGGCCTCTCCAGGGCGTCCACGTGCACCCTGGGCCTTGCCCCTGTGAGCTGAGAGGGTCACACCACAGATCTCCAGACAGGTCACAGACCCAGAGCTCCTAGGTTTCCATGAGAGCACTTTTTAAAATTGGCTTGTGAGAGGCAGAGAGGAAGGGGTGGGGGAGAGGCCCATTTGTTGTTCCACTTACTTATGCGCTCATTGGCTGGTTCTTGTTTGTGTTCTGACCCGGGATTGAACCCGCAGCCTTGGCCTGACCAACTGAGCTACCCCACAGGGCCCACGACACTTTCCCTGGTGAACCCCTTCCTTTCATCTTCCCAAGAGCCAGTGAGGGTCTGGTGCGTAGTAGGGTCTCTATAAATAGTTGTAGGAATTAGCCTCCCCATTTCACAGTATGGAAACTGAGGCTCAAAGAGGGGTGCCCCTCCCCGTATCATTAGGCGAGAGACCAGGTGAAAGCACCGCCCAGGTCTCTTGCACTCAGTAGGCGCTTTACGAAGGGCTCCGCCCCCTCTCCCCCCCCGCACGCAGACTGACGCGCTCCAGGGGCGTGGCGTATGCAAATAGCCCAGTAGGAGGCCGCGGATTGGCCGGAGCGGGCGGGGGCGGGGCGCGCCGGCAGCTGGGGCC